GGAAAAATCAATGGCTATACCTACTTTTATGCTATGGTATGTATGGCCAAAATGATGGCCAAGAAAGTTGCACTGGGTTCAATTGTTTTTAATGTTTACTTCATAAAAATTTATATATATATATAAAACATAACATAACACAACTAACATAACAATATAACATAACAACACAACATAACAATATAACAACATAACACAACACAACAATAACAACAATATGACATAACATAAAATAACACAACACAACATAACAAACATAAGATAACAGACTGTCTTACTGGCTTAAGAACTGCCGCGATCCATTTAACAACGGAGGCAAGAATGTGGACCAAAGCTCACTTAACCAAATGTCTCACTTATCCCCAGAAATTTGAGGCTCGATTGTGGTTGTTAAGTTGAAGACTGCCTGTATATTTTTCTTAATGCAAAATTCAGACAACAGATAACAGATAATGGGACCTTGGAAGGGATCTTCTAGGTCATCTAGTCCAACCTCCCCCCCCCGCCCAAGCAGGAGACCCTATGCCATTTCTGACCAATGGCAGTCCAGTCTCTACTTGAAAGCCTCCAGGGATGAAGCTCCCACAACTTCCAAAGTTCCATGGGTTGATAGTTTCTCACTGTCAGAAAATCTCTCCTTATTTCTAGGTTGAATCTCTCCTTGGTCAGTTTCCATCCATTCTTCCTTGTCTGGCCTTCAGGTGCCTTGGAAAATACCTTGTGGCAGCCCCCTCAAATATTGGAAGATGCTCTCCTGCCTCCCCTGGTCCTTCTCTTCCCTAGACCAGCCAAGCTCCGTTCCTGCAACTGTTCATCGTATGTTTGAGTCTCCAGTCCCCTCATCATCCTGGTTGCTCTTCTCTGCACCCTTTCTAAGAGTCTCAGCATCTTTTTTATAGTGTGGTGACCAAAACTGGATGCAGTACTCTAGGTATGGTCTTACTAAGGCTTTATAGAGCGGTATTAGTACTTCCCTTGATCTCAATTGTATCCCTCTGTTAATGCAACTTAGGATTGCATTCGCTTTTTGGGCTGCTGCTGCACACGGCTGGCTCACATTTAGCTGGTTGTCCACTAAGACTCCAAGATCCCTCTCCCAGTTCCTGCTATTGAGCCTGGTTTCACCCAGTCTATATTCAAGGAAAGAAAACATAGCTTTTATCCTGGCCTTACCTCACCTCCCTGTCAGGCCTTCATTCTGGAAACAAACTGTCCTCATTTTACACCTTCAATGCAAATATCACTTTCCAAGCGAGCTCCAAAATAATGCCGGCTTTTAGCTGAATGTTTCGCGGCCTGCTTAATAACTTTGCCTCTTCTGCCTGGACTGTTTATTTTTCAATGTGCCATGTTGATATTTTCATCTTTTTTTTAAAAAAAAAAGTTTTTTAAAAATTGGAGTTTACCAAACAGGCTGATGGAGCCTTGCTCAGAATATTTTTCTTCCGTGAGTTTATTTTAAAGAGCGAGGCCAGGTGCCAACGAGGATAAGGGTTTCTGGAAGCCAGTTTAGACGTGTGAAATTGTCTCTTCCGTACAGCCATTAAAGGCACATTCAGCAAACATGATTCTTTTTTTCAAAAGGAAGAAGTGATTGATCTCGCTTGAAACTGCTTTTATGGATCGCAGCGTACGAAATTGGCTTTTTACTGTTCCAAACAATTGCAAATAGACCATGGTTCTTTTTCTTTGGGTCTCCTTGATGAAAAGAAAAACCCTATAGGAAATGTACGTAGTTTTTAGACTGCAATAATCCAGGGTTTTTCAAACTTGGGAACTTTGAAGACGTGTGTAATTCAACTCCCAGAATTCTGGAAGTTGAATTCCACGCACCTTCACCTTCCCAAGTCTAAAAAAAATAATAATACGGATCTAGACTGCTTTGGAGGACTCCCAGTTTAAAACATGTTAAGATGTCCATAATTTGATTCCCTGTAAACAGAGACTCCAGTTGAAGAGGATATAAAGAGGGCACATTCATCTGGATAGAAAAATCAAATCAAAAGCAAAAATGTTGATCATAATGAAATAAGTGATACTACGTATTAGGTCATGTAATAGTTGAGATTTGCTCAAAAAGAATCATGTGAATTTATAATTAAAGTCTGATAAGGTGTTAATAATAATATAACATAGTCGATATATATGAATTATCATTTAAATCTAGAAGGGAAAGACTGCTGATATTGTGCACAAAAGATATGCACCAACTGACACACTGTACAATGGGAAGATGGTTTTATTTGTTATTTTGTGTTTGTTTATGTTTGTTGTTCAAAGCAAACCCAAACTGCTTCTATCTCCTTCAAAAATGTGTTGTTTTTGAAGGAGATAGAAGCAGTTTGGGTTTGCTTTGAAAGTTTTCCCTCCTACAACTAAACCTGGGAGATAGGCACCATCAAAAGCCTGCACTGTGCTACAAAAAAGACGTTACCAAAAAGATATCGAGACTTGGGAAAAAGTTCAGAGAAGAGCAACTAAGACGATTAAAGGCCTGGAGACAAAAATATATGAAGAACGGTTGCAGGATTTGGGTTTGGCTAGTTAGTGAAGAGAAGGACCAGGGGAGACATGATAGCAACCTTCCAACATTTGAGGGGCTGCCCCAAAAAAGAGGGGGTCAGTTTATTCTCCAAAGCACCATAAGGCAGGAGAAGAAACAATGGTTGGAAACTGATCAAGGAGAGAAGCAACCTGGAATTAAGGAGAAACTTCCTAACTGTGAGGACAATTAACCTGGGGAACAGCTTGCCACCAGAAGTTGTGGGTGCTTCACCACCGGAGGTTTTTAAGAGCCTTTCCTTCCTTCCTTCCTTCCTTCCTTCCTTCCTTCCTTCCTTCTTTCCTTCCTTCCTTCCTTTGTTTAAAAAAGGGAAGAGGTCTAAAGAAACAGAAATGGTGTAGGGTCTCCTGCTTGGGCAGCGGGGTTGGACTAGATGACCTACAAGGTCCCTTCCAACTCTGTTAATCTGTAAACTATCCAAACAGACCCAACAACTCTTAGAAACGTCCAGCCGAAGCAGCTGATAGGAAAACCCAGCACCGAGTCCCAGGCGACCTGGAAGGCTCCCCTTCTCTCCCCTTCGGCCCGATCTCGCTCTTTTGCACCCCTCGGTTTGGAGCAAGGCAAGAAATGCGGCTTATAGTCTCAGCCAGGTCGCCTTTAGGCCAGCCACTCTGGCTTAATCCCAAAAAGCATGCAATGGCAAACCACTTTTCAAAACTCTAGCCAAAAGAAAAAGAAGAAGTAGGGGATGTTTTGGAGGGCTGGAAGCAGCCCAGAGGAGAAGAGTGCTCCCACTGGCATCCCTCTGGGATCCAGGAGCACATTTGACAGATTTAACCGAGTTGGAAGGAACCTTGTAGGTCATCTAGTCCAACCCCCGCTTTCTAAGCACAGGACACTTTGCACCATTTCTGACCGATGGCAGTCCAGTCTCTTCTTGAACGTCTCCAGGGATGAAGCTCCCACAACTTCCGAAGGTCAAGCCACGCCACTGAATAACAGAACGACAGAGTTGGAAGGGACCTTATAGGTCATCTAGTCCAACCCCCGCTGCCTAAGCACAGGAGACTTTGCACCATTTCTGACCGATGGCAGTCCAGTCTCTTCTTGAACGTCTCCAGGGATGAAGCTCCCACAACTTCCGAAGGTCAAGCCACGCCACTGAATAACAGAACGACAGAGTTGGAAGGGACCTCGTAGGTCATCTAGTCCAACCCCCCCCCCCCC